TTTCAGATCTTATATTCTGGATTGCACATCCTGCTATTCCATTTGCTGCCATGTGGACATAAAAAATAGCCAGGATGCAGAGCTGGTACGGAAGTGTCTGCTGGATGTGCTTACTTGAAGTGAAAGCAAGCCAGGGAAGTGCCTGCTGCTGTTCTGCTCAAACAGATGGTTCAACTGCTTGTAAAGAGCATGAACAGGTACAGATAGTGACAGAAGTGATTGTTTTATACATTTTCATACCAGCTGATTCCATGTTCTCCAGCAATCACAGACCCTGTTTGCTGTTCTCTTGTTGCTTTCAAATGGTTCACATATTTATGTACATTTCTGGACCTCATCAGCCTCTAGAAGACCACCAGGAAAACTTAACCAGCAGTTTGCACAGACATCAAAGCAGAAGACCTGTCTTTGTGGCCCATACGAGCCACGTAGAAGTCCAACACAACTGTATGTGAGGACTGCACATAGACCTCAGGAGTGTGTTTTCAGAGGTTGAACTTGGTCACTCTCAGGTCTGACCATGCAGTCACTGACTGTGTCTACTCTACTATACCTCTTCGTTAGCTCAGTTTTCCAAAAGGTTGCCTCAACTGTATATCGCTGTGACAGTGTTATGCAAATTGTTTTCTCAGTTTATTTAATTTGATGTTGGCAAGAATGGAGGGTTAATGGCCTTGGCACAAACACATCTTGCTGCTATTTTCCAGACAGCTCCTTGAATATCTGAACAGTCTTCTTCAGTCTCACAATGGCAAAGAAACACAGAAAGGTCTGATCTAGTTTTTAGCCATAACCCATTGTGGACTAAAAATGCTGAGATCTCCAAACTGTAGCTGATTTGTCCTGTGCAAGGCACACCTCATTTGGTTGTTTTACTCCTCTCTTTCCTCTGCTGTCTACAAATGTCTTTCACATTTTATCTAGCCTGTGCACATTGCAGAAAGTGTGGTCCACAGGCCACCCCCTTCTCCCTTCTCCCTTCTCCTCTTCCACAAGACTCCTCATTAAGGTAGGTCCTTACCCAATGAGCACCAACATATATGCAGGGGACACAGGTCTTCCAGAGCACTGACTTGTGAAAAAACCATGATGCAGAAAAGATTTCTATATCCTCACAACCTATATGGTATTAAATAATTATCTTCTCTGTGACTGAGGGGTACTAAACAGTCAGTGAGAATGACTCCTAACGAACTGGAATATTCTCCACAGATACACCTCAGTACTGGAGGTGCAGCACGGCCCCATCTTTCACCTTCACCTTTAATTCACTTGTCTTCCCACAGTCACTTCTCCCTGGCTGTCAGAAACACAGAGATGAGTGCATTCTGTGTTCCATCAGGTGTAGTGTTTCACAGCTAGGGCACCAAAGCCTGTCATTTCTGATATTTCTATCCTGACACTTAAAAAGCAGAAGTTCAAGAAATGAATTAAAAAGAACAGCTTAGGAGAGATAATTGATAATTAGGTTATTGTCTTTATTTATTCTTTTTAATTTGTAGGAAATTGATATACATGTTCTCAGTGGTTTGCATAAGTCATTTCATTTCTGTCTTTCATTGTCCCTGAATAAACTGGAAAACACCATCTGATCCCTACTTCTGGGTGCCTATGGTATGACTAAAAGTTGATGATATTTTCAGTGTAAGCTTCCCTTCCTCTCTTCCTTTCCTCTCTACCCAACAAAAAAGTCTGAACACTGCACACTTTCTATACCTCTGGCTCCCAGGCAGCATTTGGAATAGTAGAAGCACTGGAAAGCATGGAAGCCAAATAATACTAGCAGGGCAAACAGAATGTAATTGCTTATGTGTGCTGGTTATATCCTGAAACAAATTGTTTCCTAATGCTGAGGTCAGACAGGGTTTAATTAGGAGAAATACAATTGGTGTAAAATTTTGCAGCAGGCTGCTTGTTTGGTGTCATGCCAAGTCAACATCAAGCCTTTCCAAATGGAAATTTTCATTAGAGGCCATTGGCAGCCTGGTTAGGCTAGGCTTCAACTTTTTCGAGTCTCCTGGTAACATGAACCTGAAACAGCATATCTTCCTAGTAACAGGCTGTCCCATGTTGCACACATGTCCCTGTTCTCACATACGCACACAGCTTCTACATATGCAGTAACATGTGTGCGGCTACTTTCTTCTGGCCTGAAGCTGTCAAGATCTGCATGCTGATAGGACTTATCTTTAGCTTTAAGACTGTGGATAATGACATTTTTTTTCTTATTGCTTTCATATCAAATATAGAGAAAGAAGCCTTTGAACCTCAGCAGAGTAAGGGAAATTTCTAAGCCTTTTTTGTTGAGTTGTGAGTCTTTTTTTGCTCTCTGTACCATTCATTGCAAGGTTCTCAAAGATCCTTACTGATGCTCAAAGCACTGATTCTGCTCTTTACACTGATTAACACAGCCTCAGTGCTTGTGCTGCCAAGGTTAAGGTTGTATCAGCATTTCCTCTACAGACCCTTCTGTTCAAGAGAAAAATGTTTAACTTGAATGAGAAAATTTGCCTCAGGGTGCAAATTTTTTTTCCCTTCCCCTAATGTTGTGAGTTAAGCTGATGCTTACAAAACCAAGGGATGGGCATTCTGGCTTATAGCGAGTAGGCACTGAAGGCTTAGCATACCTCAGTGACAGTTTGTGTCTTTTCTTCTTATGCCCATCCTGACATGGAGAACATTAATGAACAGACCACAAAGGAAGTGGGACCTGATGTGTGCCAAATCTTGTGGGCTTTAAAGTTGAGCTACCAGAGATATTTACTCCAGAAAGTGCTGTCAGCAAAAGGCAGGAGCAGTGGAGGATTTGTGGCCACTGTGAAAGCTGGCTCTTATGGCAGGTGAGCTGGCAGAGAACAGCTTGTAAGCCAAACTGACCCTGCAAATAAGACAAGCCAGGTTATAGGAGGGAGAAAATGCTGGGAAGAAAGTGGCAGAGACCCAAGTAGATAGTCATTGCACAGCAATTTTTTAAAGTAAACAGAAGCCTTTTCATTTCAATATCTCTCTGCCCTGGTTCAGACTATATCTGAATCAGCATTTACAGAATGCTCCACCTCCTCCCTGAAGGTGACATTTTCTCTTCTCTCTGTTTTTTTTAACCAGTGGTCAGTGCCTCATTTTTCTCTCCCCCTTCTGCTCTCAGTATCTTTTGACAGAGCAGCATAGTCCCTTTCCCTTCCCTTATCTGCAGGCCAGCTGAGGGGCACTGCTGCCTCTGTCCTCCTTCACCACTGCACCAATCCTACTGTATTTGTCTTTTGTATGAATCCTTATTCCTGGCCTGCTGTATCTACCTAGCTGCTGTTCATGTGCACAGCTCATAGCAGCAATGATAGTTAACAGTATTCGCTGTGGGTAGGTATGTGTAGGGAAAGAAAATAGAAAACTAGTTTTGTTGCTGTTCCTAATCTCTGCCCACATGCTCCTGTTAAGGTGCAGTCTTTACAGGAGGAGCAAAAAAGGGCCATGCAGAACAAAAATGTGGGAATATCCACTGCACACACATGGTCTTCCACACAAGAGTGCCTTGAAATATTTGTGTTGTGAAATCTATCAAAAATCTTTGGATAGAGATTTGGAGCTTGACCAGATTCTGTGGAGTTTAGGGAGGAAAATAAGATTTTATATAGAATGCTTTTCTTTTTTTTTTCCCCCAAGAGCAATTAGCAAAGGATTTTGATATGACTAAATGGAGATTTCACATGTTTCTGTATCTGTCTTTTCTTTGCTTCTAGGGTGCAAATTTAGGGCATGTCTCACAGTGCCAACAGACTCTTAGTTTTTTCCCCAATCAGAGGCACTGATATCTCATACTGGCACAGATTTTACAGTTTCAAGTCCGTGGCTGGGGGGACACAGCCAGGTTAAAACTGAGATGTGAATGGTGGCCTGTGCTTTGGCAGACCAGAGCTGCTGTGTGGCCCTAGGAAAACTGCTACACGTCAACTCAAAGATCACCTTCACAAACACCCTGATAACCCATACGCTTCCCACTCCCATAAAAGTCCACCGCCCTTTAACTCTTCTGGGGCTGACTGGCTACTTGATTTCCCCTTGGCAAAGGGAAGGCAGCATCACTTTTTCCTTCACAAAGAAATAAATGAACAGCAAGGTAGAAGAGGGCAGCATCTTGACTATCTTTTCTTGAGGTATTATCAATTTGGAGTTTAGAGTTTCTCATTTTATTAAACACATTTTCATGCATTGTGTGACTATGAATGTATGTATTGGGTTCTGGTACTGGCACTGCAGCAAAGCATCAGGTGGTGAGGTGGGGGTTGAAGGATTAAATATAGTTTCTGCAGTGTGATCATCTCTTCTCTGTTTTTAAAACCTCCAGCCTTTTTCTGAATTACCCCGTGGGTAGCTTAGTAACAGATATGATGGCCCATTCTTTAGTGCACTTAAAAAAACTCTAGAAAATATACTGCCATTCTAGAAAGAAATAAACAAAACTAATGAGCTGAAGGTGTTGTCATGGAAGTGTTACTTACAAGCATGGAAGGGGCAGCTGCCCTTCTGAGCTCTGCTGAACAGCCAGAGCATAAAGCAGCGCTCTCTGTCACGTACAGCCAGGAGGCTGCAGGCTCTGTAAACGCTGTTTGTACAGATGACGAGTCCCCTGCCGAAGCGGGTGATCAGTGGACCGGGGTCAGAGACATTAACACGCTCAAAGACACGATGCTGGATGATCACTTGTACCGGCCATTGCCATGCAGAAGGCACATTAGGGGGAAGCTTGGCAGAGCTGGGTAACACTGAGCCTCTCTATTTGCATGCAGCACAGGAAAGCAAGAAGTGCTCGTCTCCTGTTTAAAGGCAGCTACTGCTGCTTCACTGGGAGCTCTGGCCTTTTCAGTGGGGAACCCAGGAGACAGGCTGTCAAAACAGAAGTCTGTTGTTCTAACTACCAAGCTCACAAAGCAGGGATAATGAAAATAAATAAATAAATAAATAAATAAATAAATAAATAAATAAATAAATAAATAAATAAATTTTAAAAGGCTCAGATCAGTCAAACCAAAGAGAGTTGTTGTTTCTTGGTTGACTTATTTTTTCCTTTTCTGAAGTTATTTGGTTATTTTGAGTTGGTTGGATACAGAAGCATGAAGTGTGGAGTTCACTCAAGACACTGAAGATAAATTCATAGTTCAGTTTTGCAAAAACACAAACAAATAAAAGTTGACTTACACAGTGGAGGTTTTATATTTCCTCATTGTATTTCCTCTACTTTGTACAAATCTTCCTTGAAATCTCTGTAGTAATTCTTACTGTGTGATGCCTGCTGTGCAGGGCAGAACTGATCGACTGCAGGGAATCCTTCCATTTTCATCTGTTATTTTCAATCGTGTCAAATTCCTTCTCTTTAGTAATCCCCCTCATTCCCTTAGGAGCTGAAAGAAGATTTAATTGTTAAATTTGCATAGTAATTCAGCAAACAAACTCTCCAGTCTAGTGTAGATCTTTAGCTGTTGCAGGCTTAATTTTATTTATACATCACTCACTTGCCTATGCTCAGTCATGATGGCATTTCATACTCAGGAGGCTGATGTAGACAAATTATTGGGGAACTGTCCATGCCGGGGCTTTTTCTTTTAGGACTACTCTTTCATAATGTAGCTTATTGCAAGATTTTTTTGAGAATGGGGCTTTGCAGGTGGATTGTGTTTGCCTGTTCTCCACAACTATCCATGTCATAAAATAATCCCGCCATAAGTGGCTTCTGTCTGGTAGACCAGTTGTAGCAATTCTGAATATGAAAAATAGCTTAAATCCTACTTAGTGAAATGAAACACAGTAAATACAAAAATACCTTCACTGTTGCTGGATTACAACAAAAGAGTTTGATTTTAAATATGATTTGCAAGTGTGGAGATTTGCAAGGTTTCTGCAGGACATGGGAAAGGTGGAACATTGTTAGAGTGAACAGAAAACTCCAGGTTTCTAAATGCAGTCCACAATACCTCATCTAGAGACTTTTAAAATCATGACACAGGCAGTTGTATTACTAGGCTCAGCTGTCCAGAGATGTGGTGACACAATTCAGTGGTGCAGCTTTAATATTTAATATTTTGATGCTAAAACTGTCCAGAATTCCCTTTGCATCTCTACCCTGCTCTACTGAATCTGTTCCCTGTGACAAACCATCTTGACAATCTACAGGCTCAATAACAAAGAGGAAACTCCACAGTTGGGAGGAAGAGGTGTTGTATCTGAGAGGTAGTAGCCTGGCTGAAGGTGGTCACAAACTGAACAATTGCAAGTGTCCTTTCCCCATGAAATTGAAGAGGTTGTGCAGCATCCAACCTTTGAAGTTTCGAAGACCCAACCAGATGAAGCCCTGAGCAGCTTGGTCTGAACTCATTGCAGACTTAACTTGGCTACTGGGGGCTACTTTACTTTAAACAGTTTATTCAGAGATGTATTTCAGCAGTGCATTAAAAAGCATGTATTTTGCTTCAGTAGGAAGCTCCCAGTGCTTCACATCCAGCACATTCTCCACATTCTAGAGTTTTGGAAGAAGTCAGCCAAGCAGAGAAGACTCCAGGTGACATCCACAGACCTGCTTACTCAGAAATAAGCACAGAAATTCAGAAAAGTAACACAGCCTGCTCCATTAGCTCTGCTTAGAGCTGCAAGCACAGCTGAGCTGGCTGTGATAAGACCTTCATTGTTCCTCCTCCCACTCGCCAAGATTGGGCTGCATCTGCCTCTAAGCACTGACGATGTCTGTCCCCTTTTTTAGTTCAGACAAAGCCTGAATTAAACAACAGGCAAATGCCTCTGTCTATCAGAGATCTTTGCTGATCTCCACTGAAGAGAGTCCTGATAAAGTATATCCCACAGAAGATACTTGCTGACTTCCCTTTTGAAGTGAAGAATAAATTGCTTGCAGCAAATAATGTATTGCATGGATGGAGTCAACACTTCCTTCTAGTAATATATACCATCAAATATCTGAATTAATTAATTATTACTTTTGCATGAGACACAAACCCCATGTGTCACCTCTAAAATGTACTTTGAGTGTTAAATCCAGCTCACACAGAAGTTGTTAGGTATGACTGACTCTATGGTACTGTCCATTTTCAGTTCCAAGGCTACTCAGCCATTTTTGCTAGGAACAGTTGGACATACCTATTTCAGGCTGTGTAAGAAAAATGTGTGCTTGTCATTCTGAAACTTATGCTTCATGAACATCCATGCCTTTAACTGATAAAGGAAATGTTGCAGAAATAGGTTTGAAGAAGTAACACTGCAGCTTAATATCCATAAAATATTCCAGGGAAATCCTCCTAAGGGAAAAAAATCTTAAATGTTCCTTGACTCACCCCCTCAAAATCTACGATATCATGTTGCTGCTTGTGATATACTAAAATTATCATCTTAAGGCAGCCCTGCTATAATGAAGTGATGTTGGGTAGTACCAGTCTGGTATCTCTCCTACAGCTGGTTATGTTTTCAGAGGGCTTACAGAAATTCAACTGCTCTGAGTAACTTAAAAGTAATACCTGAAACATGTGCCTTGAGATAGTTGTGGGAATCTTAGTTTTGGACTGTGACAACTTCCCCAAACTTAACTTTCCTCCAGCCTTACACCTGAACATTTTTTGTGTTGTTGCTGCTGGCACAGGAGAGGTATACACTTCTGTATTGACCTTCTAAACCATCTCACTGTGTATCTTTTACTCCCACTGTCAAAGAAAACAACAGTTTAGCTGCTTTCTCAATGTCAACTGTCTGCACCGAGTTTATCATACTGAACTGTGTAACTACATTTATGCATTAAACAGTAGTCAGGAGATATGTGAGTCCCCACTTAGCCTTGGAACATGTTGATACTATCTGCAAGGCAAGCCATTCCCCAGGAGTTATGAAATCAAACAGGGGATTTAATCGATGAATGATTTGTTGTCTCAGATTCTTGTTCCCAAGGAAGAAGAAAAATAAAGAGTAGTTTTCCTTGGGATATGAGTATACATGAGCTTAACAAGGCAGTTGTGAATGAGAGCATTTCATCCCACTTGGGCAGTATTCTTGGGATTATGAGGAAACTTAACTTCTTTGGATGTCTGAGGAATCATTTGCATGCACCATGACACAGAAATAGGTGGGATCTTGCAAGTGATACAACACAGAATTCCACATCTTTTTCTCATAAAAGCCACATTAAATTATCAGCCTAGTGCTTTCCCAGTATATTGTCTCACTGATCTTGAACGAGCCATCCTGGTGTTGGGGGAACAGTTATCTGGGTGATAATCAGTGCTGAGACCTCAGAGCAGCTCAAAGAAATCTGAGAGCTATATAAACATTCAGCTGAAATTCCTTTACACAGGCAATTTTCCCTCCACTAGTCTTCTGAACTCCAAAAGAAGCATAAGCCCTGACTCAGGCAATGTGGAGTGTTTGCTCTGGCACCCAAGCCAGCAGATGTGACTACTTGGCATCCTTTCCCGAGACTTGAACCTCATGGTATGTCTATGCCAAATGTACCCACATTATGCAAGAGTAATGGAAATTCGCCAGGCAGAGCAATGCTATGTTTTCCCAGATAAATGTTGCTCAGTTTAATTTTGAGGAACTGCCTGATAAAAGCCTCAGTGATTACCTTGTTTGCCTAACTGTCTTCATTCTGTGAGATCCAGCACTGTTACTGGAACAGAGAATACATGAAAAACATGAGGGAACAAGTGCATCAGAGGAGCAAAAGAGGCCAAGCAAATCTCCTGGTGAAAGGTGAAGCATGCACCTGAGAAAAAGGGTTTCTTTCCTCGTTGGAAGATAAGTTGACTGCACGGAAGGACCACTAAGAATAGTTTGTCATCTGACGTGGTTCAAGTGACTCAAGCTGCACAGTCACAGTGAGCTGTTCATTTCAGTTTATCTTTTTCTCCAATTCCAGGCAAAGCTCACCGTGGAAAAATGCTGGGATGAAGGTCATTTGCCGTTGGCAGCACCTGGAAGGTGAGACAGAAATGTAAACAACTCATGCTGCACAACATCTGCAGAATATAAGGAAGTAGAAAATGAAACATAATGGAATGAAAATGTGCATAGGATTAGCCAACTGAAAGATATGCATTAAAATATAAAGTTATTCTGATTATCACCACCCTGCCCTTCATTTGAACCAACTACTATTTGCCTACAGCTATTGCACCAGGGCAAGATTTTTTATTTCATATTTAGTTCACATAAAAATACAGTCCTGTTTCTGGCTGTGGTCTTGCTAACATAACTCCTAAAAACGGTAAGTGTGATTTGTTATCTTCCACAGCCAAAGGCACTTGCCACAACCTGACTCAATTATATTCAACATGCTTGTGACATTCATAAACAGGGCAGCCCAAATCAAGCAAAGAGTCAGGGATATGTGCTGTGCAGGTAGCTATGATTCAGCTCTGAAGTTGAGGAAAGCCGTAAATATCCCATGGAGCCTCTCTCAGGTGTAACAAACCTACTGTCACCCAACCACCGCCTGATAAAATGGCTGGACTATGCAATGCCTTTTGTTGCCAGATCCTTCACTCTAGAGCAGAACAATGCTATTGAAATTGGAGGAACACCTCAAATAGCAGCAGGGGATTGCTGTTACACTATTAGTGCAATTTGCTTCAGCAAACAGCCAGAAGTAGTCGTTTCTTCTCAAGTTACTTACACGGCAGTAATCAAGTTTTGTTAACAAATTTCAGCCATGAAGGAAATCCAAAAGTAACTGACTTCTAACCCTGGACTTCACCTTCAGAAGAAGAACTGGGGAAGAGACATAGTGAATCGCAGGGCTCCTGCTATTTATTATGCAAAGGCAAATGGAAAATGGAATCATTTTCACAGCATTTTGAAAGGCTATTTACAAACTGTTGGCCTGGAAGGAAAATTCTGGAAACCATTCACTGTAGATGTCTTATCTAACCACCTGCCTGACATTCAACAAGCCTATCCTGCAGGGATAGGAGCAAGGTGCTAATGTTCTCCAAAGTCCCACACAAACCAGAGTTAATGGCTGGGTGGATAGATCCCAATGAATAACTTAGTCAATTAAAATGTCCTTTATTGATCTGCAGACATTGTTGTGAGTTTCTCAGTTATTCATTTCAAATTATTGTCTGAGTTATTTGTTGTCCACAGCAATTCACTGCAGAACTAGTCAAAATAATGTTGAAACTCAGATTACCAGACAGAGAGCAGATACTTCTTTTCCTTGATTAGCTAAATGAGACATTTTGCATCAAGTTTCTGCTTCAATATTTAGATTTTTGAAAGAGAAAATAGCCTTGTGAAAATACTGTTTAATATTTACTTAAATGCTGCTGTTTCAATAGCTGGTAGTAAATTCATTCAATAGATTATTTGTGAAAGTGGGCAGAAAAAACATGAATAATCAAACAAACTATTTAAATCATTAAACACAGCTTTATCTGAGGGTTAAGTAATGTTTGCCTACTTGCAAAGACAGTTGCCAGTTGTCTGCAGCACATTGTATAGGACATACCTTCAAATTCAAACTAAGAGAGTAGTTTACAGATACAAGCTAAAAATAATTCTGCTAGTTCTTTCACAGAAATTAAAAAAATAAAAAAAATTAAAAAAGAAATTTTGAACAGAACAACTTAAGTTACCTTAACCATTTTGATTTGCAAAAAACAGAGGCCCAGCTACACATACAAATTAGAAACGGTATAGTATCGAATGCCTTGGCCACACTCATCAGGAACAGAAGATCTCTGCTCCTAGCTCCCCTAATGGGCTGAGTTGCTTGTTAATCCTTTATAAATGTTCCCCAGAAAAAAATCAGTTGTGCCAAGCTACTAAGAATTCTGTCAGCATGTAACAAGAACAAAATCTTATGCATAATAAAAGAATATTGAAAATACATGTATAGTCTTTGGCTGCTCTATATTGGCTGTTCAGCAGTTCAGTTGGTGTATTAAAATGTATTTTAAAACATTATTTTGGTTAAATCCAATCCCTACTTAACACTTATAAACAATTTAAGAGAATTAAGGTATTTCATATACTAGTTGTTATCCTTCCTGCTGAATGGATAAACACATTCCACAGAAGGGAAATTACAAAGATGTAAATTATGCTGGGTGACAGGGATATGGAGTTAGGCAACATTCATGCTTCATTTTGCTAATGGATTGGATTACAACCCTTCTCCTTAGTGAGAAGCACAGGGATGAAGAAGATGCACACAGTCTTTGCTTTTTTGCTGTAGTCCAACAGGATGCTTTGTAAGTTATTCTTACCAAGTGTCAAAATGAGTTTAAGTGACAGATTATGTATTTGCTTACCTACATTTAACATTGGCATCTCTCCATTCACTCACACTAGGGTAAATAAACCGAGGCTCTGGCTCTATATTCCCCCTTGTTTGATCTCACTCTAGATCAGTGATGCCAAACCACCAGCACTGGCAAACAGAGATCTGGGCTGGCACCAATAACAATGAGCAAACAACACTTTCAAAACATGTTTGATGCCAGATAGCAAAGAGCACCCTCCCTATTTCAGGAGCTCATTGACAGAAAGGCTTTCTGCTCTGAAATCCACAACTCTCTCCCACATGTGGCTGGAAGGGCCAATATGCCATTTTTTTCTGCAGCCCCCAAAAAAGAAATCCACTGTATTTATCCCAAACAGTGACACATAGGTGGTTCCTGTTAATCCAGTTAATCCAAACCTCTGTTTAAGCATGAACAAACCTAGCTTAGGAAGACACAAGAAGCACAAATGAAACAGCTAAAATTTTCATGTCAACTGGCATTTCAAACCTTTCAGCTTTTACTAGACATCTTCAGGTTTAGTGGTGGACTTGGCAGTCCTGGGTTAATGGTTGGACTTGATGATCTTAGAGGTCTTTTCCAACCTAAACGAGTCTATGTTTCTATCCCACTCTGATGCAACGTTACACTCCAGCACGTGCTACGACTACACCTCTAGTGCCTGATGCACCTATATCATGTGCCTGGTGTTCCTGGAGGGAATGGTCCAGTCCGGCTGCCCTTACTGAGCACAACCACGGGCCACGTTACACTGGCTGGGGACAGGGTTAGTCAAGTCGTTTCTTCTTAAATTACGCCAGTCCCCTCTTCCCACCCGAAGGGCTTCAATACGCAGTGGGGGCCGAGAGCGACGGGGACATTGGATTACCCGCAGGGTCAAAACACAGAATGGGCTTCATCCACCTCAGCACCGTAAAGCAGCCGGCACGGCGGGTCTCTGGGCTGGGAGGTGAGCGTTCACTCACCGCTACTCGCAGCCACACACGAGCCCGCACGAACGCCCAAACCTCTGCCCGTACCCACACCAACACAAGCACCTCCTGCACCACCCACACCCTTTCCAGGCCGGCCCCAGCCCGGCACGGGAACCGCATCCCGCTCGCTCGCCGGCCGCCGCCCGCCCGGCCGCGCCGCGTCAGCCCCACCAGAGGGCGGCACGACCCCGCGTTCGGGCAGGCGGGCAGGAGGCGCGGCCCTGCCGCCGCCGTGCCCCGGCCCCCCCGGGCACTGCCCACACACACCGGCCTGGCTCCCGCCCCGCCGCCGCGGGCGAGGAACCTCCTACCGACCCGGCCCCCGCGGCCTCGCCCCCTGCAGCCCTCCCCGCCCGTCGCCTCCCTCCCGTCGCCTCCCTTCCGCTTCCAAAGAGCCCCCAGCGGCCCTCGGAGGGCGGGCGGATGGCCCTGCGCAGTGTTTTGGGGCAGAACTGGGGCTGTGCGGTGCTGGGCTGTACGCGCAACAGGGACGGCGTGCACTGTGCTGGACAACGTGTGCCCATCCCGCCGCCGCAGTTCGGGCTGTGCAGAGCGGTACTCCCTGTTAAACTCCAGATTAAGAAGAGTTTAGTGGCCGGGAGGTGACCTCCGCTTCCATTGAGGGAACTCCTGTATCAGAGAGTTTTCTGTGTGGTAGCCCACCTCTCTGCTTTTTGGGCAATGCTGTCATCTTACTGTATATGGCAGTTAGTGACTGCTGTCGGGGTGCACTGCCGGAAAAAAATAGCTGTAAATGTGGATAATCTGAGCTGATCCTTTCAAAGTTCACACCGCATGAAGCTGCAGAGCAAAGCCAGGCAGATGGGAGCGGGATGTTTCGTGAATCAACAGGCTGTTGCAGAATAAGAAGGGGGGAAAGTGATCCCCTCAAGACAGATGTCACTGCCAGACCATATTGGTAAAATTGCAAGTTACAAATTCAACTGAAGCCAGAGAATTTGCCAAAAAAAAAAAAAAAAAAAAAAAAAAGAAAACGGACAGAAAACAGATGCAAAACAGCAACAAAATGCCAGAATAAAATGAGTCAGGCCAGCACTGGAACACACTGCAATCCCTCACCATTCAGGATGATTTAAATGGATGGAAAAGGGATTAAGGTCTAATCCAGCAGTTGCTCTGTTTGAATTAATCTCATAGGAGTCAGTCAGGATATGTATATTTAGAGAGGGGGAGAAAGAGAAGAAAGCAAGCAAGAAATTGCCCAATCAGGCCCCGAATATAGTCTCAGGAGATCAGGAGACTTGGAATAGTTCCTTGTGCCACACTCGTTTTAAAAGCTGATTATCTGATCCAAACCCTCACAGGTATTTCAAAGAGAAAAAGTGGCTTTGCTAAATATGCAGTTCTTTATGCAATACTGAACCCCAAGTCTCCCTACCAGATGTTGGCTGCAGCACAGGCAGCAGCCATTTCACTCACACTGGCTGAGGCCCTCTCCATCACTACAGTGCCTTCCTTGGCTGTGATCTTGCTTTCAAATGCCACTGATTTTCTGGGACAGTATCAACTGTGAGGAGACTGTCCCACTGGGTCTTGAGTTTCCTGAGAGCCTAAGTGATTAAAGAAGTTCTTCCTTTCGAACTTAAACATTTTCCAGAGTGCCTTCTCTTCTCTGAGTAACACTGTCAGTCTGAGGCAGGGCACTGAAATCTACACCAGCACTGCCAAAACCAGCCTTGCATATTTCCAAGCGGTTATGCAGCCTTTAGTAAATCACCTAAGCGTGAGCAAACTGTGCTTCAGGCAGTGCAGAAAAAGACAAATCCAAATGCTAGGGACTATGTGTACCCGGGGAGGCTTATGTAGACACTCTGGAAGACAAAATATTAAGTGCTAGCCGCAGTCCCGGACACACAATATCATAGAGGAATACAAAATATTAAATCCCCAGTCCACAACACACAGCTTGTTTCTGCATGTGTGGATGTCCTTTATGTGTGCAGGTGGATGGGTGTATCTGAGGCAGGTACCAGCTTTCAAAAAGGGAATCTTATAAACCACAGCCCAGAGCTCCAGTCCAACAACTGTGGTACTCGTTTTAGCAGTTCTGCCTATGAACAGTGCTGGGTTATAGTTCTCCAGCAGCCCCCAGCATCTCCAGAGGGACCAGCAATTCCTTTCAGAATGGAGACTCCTTTCAAGGATATTGCAATATTTAAAGAACTCCATACCAACACAGCATCAGATAGAGATTAATTTAGTCCCTCATCTTTTTCCAAGTAACAATGTAACCCCCTTTGTGGTATCCCACCCTTAAGGGGAAGGGAGCACCCAAAATTCCCAGGTGCTCATAGTTTAAAAAAAATAAAAGTCAGAGAGTCCACAAAAGAAACTTCCAGAGTTAATTAGTAAATTATACACCTGGCATGGAAGTTGGTATAAATTAGTCCCTTATCTTCTAGCATAAGCCCATGGTGGTGGGTGCTTTTTACCTTTACCTTGGAAAAATACCATAGACCACAAACTTTAAGAGAAGGGAGCCTTTTGAGTAGCCAGAGAATTTCAGATTATAGTAGTTACCTGTTTGCTGGGAACTGAGAGCAGGGAGAGAATGGTCAGGGAAAATAAAATGACAAGATGAGAGTAGCTAGGAACATGAGTCTTTCTTTCCCATGTCAGAAGCAAATCAACAAATACATTTTCCTGCCTTTGTAGAGGTAAAGAAAGAGATGAATGCTGAATGACAAAGTCACCTTTTTGAAGACTTTTAGCTCAGGCAAAATGAATGAAAAATTCCAATGCTCCCCAAAAGTAAGTACTTAATCTGAGCTGGGCGTATGCAGTACGCCCACCAGCAGTACAGCACAGTTAGGTGTTGGGACCTTGCGATACAGTCAACCAGCAATAAGAAACAAGTACACTGGTAATGCTGCTTTGCAGACAACGGGGGTCACAGCTGGGATCCCAGACCTCCAGCGCCTGCCAAACACTGAGGCCTAGGTTTGCTCTTCAGTGCTGTTTTGAGCATAAAAATACATGTACCGTCAAACATCACTGTCTTCATTCTCATTTTTCCAGGAAAATATTGGCAGTTATATTACCCTACCAATATCAATTGTGCATTTGTGTCTGTTTCTGTGCAGCTTGTGCACTGGAAATGTGTTTTGGCTTTAGTTCAAATCCACTTCATTGCCCCCACAGAGTTCTTCATTGTTATAAAGGCTTGCTGAGATTGTTTCCAGTTTATACACAACTGTTTCTAAACCCTGGGACCTGTGCTTTTGGTTGTCTATCAGGACAGAGTGGCAAAGATTAAAGAAGTGCATGCCTTATGCTGCATACTTTAAAATAAAACAGCCATGGTTTTCAGAAACCTCTTTTAAGGTGTAATAAATCCGACTTTCTAAATGCCCAAGGCTGTGTTTATCTAGAAGTATCTTGGGGGAGATTGCGATGTCTATTAATCTGTTTTCCTGTTTCCTTACCTCAGGGCCTAAAGGCTGCATAAACCAAACAGATAGAAGGCTGTAAGGAAAAGTCTCCACAGACAAGTATCTCCCTCTGCTTTCTGTTCTTAAGCAACACACTCCTAGTACAGGGGAGTCATTAAAGTTCTTATAAAGCAGGAGCACTAGATGAGGGTGATATAGTGGGGACAAATCAGCATGACCTCTGTCTTAGAAGAAACCTCAAACCTGTTCAAGACCTTTAAAAGAGTTAACAGAACAGTGGATAAAGGACAACCAGTGTCTGTATTTTATTTAGACTTTCAAAAGGCTTTTGATAAATTCCTGAGAAGAGGCTATAAAGGAAACTTAGTAACCACAAGGTGAAGGGTAAAGTCCTGCATGGATAGGGGGAGAAAAAAAGCCTACAGTTGAGAGAATAGAAACAAAGAGGAGGAACAAATGGTCCATCTCAGCATGGAAAGGGCTTACACATAGGGTGCTCCAGAGATTAAAAATATGACATGTGCTTGGGATACTTATTAATGATTTGAAGACCATGGTGAAGAGGAAAGGTGACAGAGTATGTGTCATGCAAAATTAGGTAGGTGGGTCAAATGGAGAAGCATGAGAAGGATGAAAAAATTAAGAAAACTATGATAGTGATGAAATTCAACACACATGGGAGAAGAATGATGCGTAGAGAACACTACAAACTACTTATGCATGTGGGTAGTTTTGAATTTCTTGTAAACATCCCCAAACACATCAGGCACCTGTACAGACAACTTGAGGAAGCTGACCGTGCAGTGGTGGTTGAGAAAAAAGCATCAGTCTTTATGAAAGACTTATGAAAAAGTTAAAAAAAAAAAGAAAGCCAATAAAGGAAATACTACAATCCCGTGATTTCGTGTTAGCAGATGGCATGACCTGTTTTTGCTTTGGCCATCACATTCAGATTCAGCTCACCATGCTCAGAGGAGAAACAAGGAAAGGTACTGCCAAAGGTTTGATAAAGCTGGGTTTCTTCTGGCTCTGCTCCTCATGTGTAGGCTCTCTGGGGGCTGGAAAGGCAAAGGCTCCAGCCGAATCTTTTCTGACCCAAAGGTAGCCAGGGCAAACCTCTTATATGTGGATTTGCTGTAGTCTAGAGATGAGCTTATAACGCAGTGTTTCCTGTTAGCAGGCTGCTAGCAGCTGCCTGGTTTGATTAAACTTCTGTGAAATTAGTGGATTCTCTGTCTTTCCATGTTACACTATAGAAGCTGTGGCACATATTTAAACTAGAGTTATGAAATATATTTTATTGCACTATAATTGGGTTTGTTGGGCTTTGACATCTATCTTTACTAAGAATTTACACTTTAAAATTAATATTTATTTGGGGCTGACAGTTATCACAGTTTAGAACTTTTTCGCAGTCTCAGGCTTTTGTTCACTTTTAGCAGGCAGAGAAACTGTGCTCTGCATTTAAGA